TCCGAGATGTCCTCCTGTTAAACTATCATGGGCTTGACGCAGGACAACTTCCCGTACCTTTCTCGGTATAATTATTTGCCAGGTCGTCACTTTCCTTCTGCAGTTTCCCATCTCCAGACTAGAACAACATCTTCAAGCTTCAACTGGTCCCATTGTGCCCAATAATTCTTTGTCAAGGGGGTTAAGCTAGACACCTTCTCCCAAGCAGGGCACAAAACACTTGCTTGTAGGAAATCAGTTATTGACTTCAAATCTTGGACTTTCTCCTGTTCTGCTTTATGATCTATATTTGGTTCCATTCCACCATCATCAACTCCTTAAGTCACTTTGACTTCAGCTTGATGGCACCTGGTTAGTTCAACCTGTCTTTTGCAGCAATGTCTGCAGTCATTTTTGCAGGGTCCTCGGCTCAGTCCATCAGCATTTCCATGAGATTTTCCTTATCTATATTCAAAATCATAGTTATACTGGTCTGTCTTTTCGATCCAACGTGCCAGTTGTCCCTCTGGGTTCTTTAATGACCTTAACCAGCATAATGTAGCCTGGTCTGTCTTGATGGTAAACCTGGCGCCATAGAGATAAGGATGGAAAGATGTCAGACTATTTACTATAGCAAGGAGTTCCATCCATGTTACACAGTAGTTACCACATGTTCGTTTTTGCCCACTTTCTGAGACAACACTCTTCCAATTCCGACATTACTAGCATCCCAATCCAATATGTACGCCAGCGAGGGATTTGGAAGCTTTAAAAGTGGAGCTGTGGGCAATTTTTCTTTCAATGTTTTAGAAGCATGCTGGCAAGAAACTGTCGATTTGAGCTTCTGGCCTTTTTTTTGTCAAATCATGTAGTGGAGCAGCTATAGTTGCAAAGTCCTTCACAAACTTCCGGTAACAGGTACAGAGTCTCAAGGAACTTCTTAACTCTCCCAAATTGTCTGGTGTTGGTCAATCATGCACTGCTTTCACTTTGTCAGGATCAGTTTGCACAACATGCTCACTTACAATGTAACCCAAGTAAAGCACCTTTTTCTGGAACAAGTGGCAATTCCGCAGATGGAGATTGAGATTTGCTGCTATCAAACTTTTGAATACTTCCTCTAGCTGGGACATTTCCTATCAAATGTTGTTGCAAACACAATGACATAATCCAAGTACACTAGGGCTATCCTCCATTGTAGGCCTTCCAGTACTCTTTCCATCAGCCTCTCAAATGTTGTTGGAGCGTTGCTAAGCCCGAATGGCATCGCAAAGTATTGCCAGAGATCTTGATCATAACTAAATGCAGTCTTAGGTTTATCTGCTTCAGTCATTTTCACTTGATGCAAACCAGACTTTAAGTCTAGAGTTGAAAGGGCATCAAGAGTATCATCAATTCTTGGCAGTGGTATGAGTCCTTTTCGGTTATACTGTTAAGAGCCCTGAAGTCCACAGAGCAACGTTGGATCCCATCCTTCTTCTGGACTAACACGACAGGAGCTGACCAGGGACTATCTGATTTCTCAACTATCCCTTCCTTAATTAGGCCATCCATGACCTTCTCCATACTTTGCTGGGGCTGTTCT